AAGTGCAGTGGCTTGATCTCAGCTCACTGCAGCCTCTGCCTCCCAGGTTCAAGCGATTCTCCTGCCTCAGCCTCCCAAGTAGCTGGGATTTTAGGTGCGTGCCACCACGCCCAGCTAATTTTTGTATTTTTAGTAGAGACGGGGTTTCACAGTGTTGGCCAAGCTGGTCTCTAACTCCTAACCTCAGGTGATCCGCCCGCCTCAGCCTCCCAAAGTGCTGGGATTATAGGCGTGAGCCACCACACCCAGCCCACAATACTTATTTTTATGTGTGTGTGTGTGTGTGTGTGTATGTGTGTGTGTGTTTTGTTTTTAATCTATATGCCAGTGTTCCTGAACACAACTTGCTTCACTGTGTTTGTTCCCTGCTTTCCTTTAATCTAGGTTCAGGTTCCCCACAGTGGGGCATCTTCACTCGATTTCCCCTCATTCCACCTATGCAGGGAAATCATTGTAACCACTACCCATGACAAGGCCCAAAGGCCCTGTGAGGCAGTCCTGTATTTGATCAGCAGAGGATAAGAGGGAGGTGTATAGGGAAGGCCATAAATACACTTGTTGCATATTCATGACTCATTTCCCAGTGGAGCCTGCAGCAAAGTGTATTTTTGGCTTTCATATAACTTATCCATTCCTTTACTGTGGACTGCTGCTTCCTGTGTGCCTTGAGGGATTTCAATTCTTAGATTTGTTGGCTTTTTTATTTGTACTCCTTCTTTTGTAAAATGTGTCCTTGTCTTAACACTTGCAGTCTGTACATGGTAATTTTGACCCCCAAAACTGGAAAGTGAGTGAAACAGAGCAGTCCTTCTATTCCCTGCCCTTTGCCATTTTTGTCATAAATGAAACATAGGCAGGTATAGAAACTCACATAGACTTGGTTAACCACTTCCTCTGTAAAAATAACTCTGAAAGTATCCTTAGATCAGTTTAGGAATTGTTCTTCATCTGAAGTTAACATGGTAATAGGCCAAGAGAAAGCTTACGAAAGCGGCGTGTGTATGTCTCTTTCTCCACCTCTCTCACGTGTGCTCACAATACTCATGGATTGCATGACTGAGCTCTGCTTTGCTTCATTGTTTCAGTCCCCAACCCCAAGATTTCTGTTGAATGGTTCTCGTTTTTGCAAGTGAAGGCACCACCACAGGTTCATTTAAGCCAGAGAATAGAGAGTTCCACCTTGCAGATACTTTAACCCTCTGGGACACAGAGCTTTACCTAGCAGATTTGTTGCAGAATTCACTATTTCATCTTCACTGGCTCAGGCACTTTCTGTAGGAGTCTTCATTTCCAGACTCTTTAGGCAGCTCATTGGAATGTTCCTAATAGTGAAGAGCTTCAGGAAGGAAACTTTATTTCCCTTTCAAAAACCCAGAGCTTATTTTGTCTGTAATTAATGTAAAAAAGCTATGAGGATCCCCAAACCTGTCTTGCTGTAGAGAAATGAGGGACGGATCATCACCAAATGTCTTAACCTAAGCTAAAAAGGAAAACTCTTGCTTCTGTTGAAGAGCTGCTTGGAACCATTTGGCTCACAGCTTTTCAGTCACATTTGGGTTTCTGCAAAGAGCTCTTCCCAGCTAGAAAATTTTACATCCGTGTAGCTGTCATTATACCTTCTCCCACTCCTGTGACAAGACTTTAGTCTTCTTGTGATCCCTGGCTGGAGTTCTGGGGACTCCTGGGACTAGCCACCATCAGTCTCTGTAGATGAGGTTTCCCATACCTCCGCGCAGCTGCCTTCCTCCCCACAAGCAACTTAACATTGTCGCCAGGAAGCTGCATTATAGGATTTAGGTGGGGAATTCAGGCTTGGCACCACAGCCTCCCAGCAGCTTCTCTTGGCATATTCTCAGGAAAGAAATGACTGCAGGTCATAATACTTTTGCCCTGTCTCCTTTGAACCAGATTGTTAATGGTTTTGGATTGTGTGTCCCTCCATCTTGCCTCAAGTGGGCAATTCTAGAATGGTCTACCATGAATTTGAGAGGTCGTTTTTTCTTGGTAGTTCAAATTCTGTGAGGCTGGGAGTCTCAGAGAAGCATTTTGATTGAACACTGTGTGCAGGAGTACAGCTTCATCCCATTAGCATTTTCCTCACGGAAGAGTCCTGCAACTCGTGAAGACCAGAGGGAAATTTGCTCCAGAGCAGAGGCAACACTTACCTGTTAGCCGCAAGAAGCTCCCCCTTGCAACAAAGCAGACTGGGCAGCCAGGGCAGGTGGTTTCTGGGGCCCCCAGATAGAGACCTAGTCTATCCATGCTCCCAGAACCCCTTTCATTTCCTCTAAATTGAGGTTGTGAATGTCTGCAGTCCTTCCCTGCTGACCATCATCTTTGCTGAGCTACGGTTCTCTGACATGGTAACTGCCTTAGTCCTCTTTTCATCCCTAGCTCAAAGCACTAATACTTTCATGGTACACTGGAGCATTAAGAGCCTGAGTTAAGGCTTTTAGCACACAATTAAATGCAGCATGTAGTATTATTGTATTATCTGAGATTTAATTGTAAGCATGAGAGACTCTAAGGGCGCTTTTGTAGCTTTGGTTTCCCATGATGGGGTTTTCTGTGAAAGGTTTATTGATTCTGCTTCCCCTTGGGAGGTGTTTGGCCAGAAGCTAGTGCTGAACACCAAGGATCCTAAAAGCCCCACAGACCCCCATCCAGCCTGGCTGTTGGGGAGAGAGATGGTTAAGCAGGCCAGCTTTTGCCTCCAAGATGTGCTGCATGGGGCAGGGCAGTGTGAGGGCTATGATGCGGAATGATGGCTGTCTGCTTTGGGCTCCTGGCGGACGCTGGATCTCTTTACAGTATTGGGAATTGTGGGAGATGGGAGGGAAAGAGGCCCACACTTAATGTACAGGCATTCTGATCATGTCAATCAGATAAATTCCGAAGATAAGCCGTGATCATGTAGCTAAAATCCGGCAAATAACGAGCATGCAGCCATGCTGTTCTCACCTTTGTGACAGGATCTTCTGGGAGTTTTTTCTGAAGTCCATTCAGGGAACATATTCTCTTCTGTGTTGCGTGACTTGTGGATGTTCTGGTTTTGCTTGTTTTGACCTCTCTTTAAAAGGGACTTTTTTCAGGGCAGGCTTCTTTGGAGGGCTTGAGGGGCAGGGGGCAATCACCATCTCTCGTCATGGAAAGTTTGCCTGTTTGAGATTATGCTCAATGTCTTATGGTCTCTTTGTCTCTGCCCCTGCCCTAGGTGCAGCTGAACGCCGGCCAGCTGCAGTATATCCGCTTAGCCCAGCCTGTATCAGGCACTCAAGTTGTGCAGGGACAGATCCAGACACTTGCCACCAATGCTCAACAGGTATGTGCCCCAGAGACACAGGGCTTGTGTTGGAGACCAGGAGCAGGTGGCTTCTGACAGGAAAGGAGCACTCAGCACACAACTGTCTTGCCTCCTCATCCTTCAGCCAGAGGCACCACCCCCACACCCTCCATATCTCTTCTGCACCCAAGAGGCATGGGTGGTAATTGGAACATTAGGTTCAAAGTGTTTTCTCTTACTGTCTTGTTCTCAAGGGGCAAAGAAATGCAAGTCAGGGGAAGCCTCGAAGGTGCCTGAAAGAAATCTTATAGGTGTGCACACCCGTCAGACCCGGGATATGTTCGACAGATCTCCTAATCGTCAGGCTGTTTCCATCTTTAAACCCAAGTGGCTGTTGTGTTCTGGCACCTTCTGTGCCCTTTGGAAAGCTTACTTAGATTTTACCTCCACCTCCTTTTGCATCCCTGACCAGAAAAATTGCCCCTCTCCTCTCGTGCTCTACAGTATTGATGGCTGAGTCACAGATGGTGAGGGGGCTGCCTCCCTGGGCTTGGGGGTATTGAGGGATGTGGGCACCATTTGTAGAAGACGGGGGGTGCTGGTCAAGGGGAGGCATTGTTAATGGATTCTTTTGCCTCAGACCCAAAAAAAGCAGCGATCGTTTAAGAGCTGGACCCGTCTGGCCCAGTTGCATTTCTGGTGATGTATCTATTGACAGTGGTGACAGAGCTGAGTTTGTAGAGCAGGTCTCCAAAGATCTCATTTGGGAAAATATGAAGAATGAGCCAAAAGCAAGGCTTCTGAGTTCCATATAGTCTCTGGGATCATTAAGGGCTCGCTCTTTGCCCACTCCCTGGCTTACCTAAGGACTCGGCTCTTCCGTAACTGATACTGACTCACACCCTTCCCCCAGCCCCTCTTTTTAACCTTGTAAGATTCTTCCCTGGGATCCTAAAAACATAACGGCATGGGAGTGGGAGGAAATGAGAAGGAAGCTTCTTGGTTCCTCAGAAGTCAGTTTGGGGCTGGGCACGGTGGCTCACGCCTGTAATCCCAGCACTTTGGGAGGGAGGCCGAGGCGGGTGGATCACTTGAGGTCGGGAGTTTGAGACCAGCCTGCCCAACATGGCAAAACCATTTCTACTAAAAATACAAAAATTAGCTGGGCGTGGTGGTACACGCCTATAATGCCAGCTACTTGGGAGGCTGAGGCACAAGAATCACTTGAACCCAGGAGGTGGAGGTTGCAGTGAGCCGAGATTGTGCCACTGCACTCCCGCCTGGGTGACAGAGTGAGACTTTGTCTCAAAAAAAAAAAAAAATTTGGTTTTGGGAACAGAACTAAAGCCAAAAAATGGGAGAGGTTGGGGAGAAGCAAGAAAGCGGTAGCTGAAGGCAATGAAAATCTTTGTAACACCAGGTTGTAATTGTGACGACCTAGTTACTTAGTAGGTACTCAGTAAATGTTTGTTGAAGCAGAATGAATAATATGTAAATAAAATTTAAAGGTAAGTGAAATCTCAGCTAATATGAATGGCAATCCTGCTCGCCACAGAGCAGTTAACCTTCTTATCTATGTGGAATATTTTCCATTTGTCTCGGGCTCACTTGTTTATTCTGCAGACATTTCTGGAATACTTATTTTGTATGGGGCCTGCCCTCAAGCAGCTTATAGGCTGTTGGAAGGAAAAGGACCAAAATAAGGAACAATAGTAAGAAATAGTCGCCGGGCGCGGTGGCTCAAGCCTGTAATCCCAGCACTTTGGGAGGCCGAGACGGGCGGATCACGAGGTCAGGAGATCAAAATCATCCTGGCTAACATGGTGAAACCCCATCTCTACTAAAAAGTACGAAAAACTAGCCGGGCGAGGTGGCGGGCGCCTGTAGTCCCAGCTACTCAGGAGGCCAAGGCAGGAGAATGGCGTGAACCCAGGAGGCGGAGCTTGCAGTGAGCCGAGATCACGCCACTGCACTCCAGTCTGGGTAACAGAGCGAGACTCTGTCTCAAAAAAAAAAAAAAAAAGAAACAGTCATGAAGCCTTTTATACCCGTTCCCTTTCTTGTTCCTCATAGCCTCATGGGTAGGCCTGCAGGGGTTGTTTTTGGCCGTGGTGAGGACATTTGAGAGGACAGTCCTTGTCTTGCAGGCTGGCTGTGATGATTCCAGGAAATGGTACACAGAGGACACTGCTGGTCAGATGTTCCATAGGAACACATGTGCATGCACACCGCAGTCTTCTTTCTAGTTTACCAAGCTGCTTCCAGCAGTTGTCATTATATATGCAGTTCTGCATGTCAGTAAATTTATCTAAAGTCCATTCACAGTCCGCAAGTAAGATTTTAAGTACTCGTGATAAATGTTGTATTTGTTCCACTCCCCGTCCCTCCCCCTTTCTCCTCCCCTCCCTTGGCCTAGAGGACTGCACAGTGCCTCTCTCGGAAAAAGTACTTCATAGGTTTGCCATGAGGACTGCTGGGGCCAAGGCCACTTGCTTGCCAGGGTGTTTCATATTCCAGTCAGATGATCTGGGTGATACAGGTTTGGCTTGGAGCCCACCTTCTAAGAATGAAAGAGACCACTCACCACTTTGTCTAACACTTTGCAATCCACCTTCACTGGCTGAAAGACGGACTCTTAGGACTTCTACCCCAAACCATAGCACCTAGGAGCCATGTGTTCTGTTTGAGCCTCGGGACCTTCAGATGAGTGGGTGGTTGAGGGAGTAGGTATTCATTAGAGAGATGGCGGTGGGAACCATCTATTATGTGCTCAGGATTCTCGATGTCCCTTTGTGCTGCCAACTCCTGGGACAGCCATCAGTGCTAGAAGATTAGGAGGGGCCCTCGCTTTCTTACTACCCATTGAGCTGGGCACTTTATATGCATTGTCTCATTTGATCTTTATGACCTTCTTCTGGGTGGTGGGCTGGTGGATCAGACCCTGCAGCTGACATGTCAACTCTACCATCTTGATTCTTACAGATTACCCAGACAGAGGTCCAGCAAGGACAGCAGCAGTTCAGCCAGTTCACAGATGGACAGGTAGGGTACCCAGCCTGGGCAGGGGCAGAGGGTGAGGAATTGCGGGGCAGGGTAGCAGGTAGTATCTGGGTTTGGATGGTTAGGGCAGCTGTCCTGTCCTCTCCTAACAAGGAGTGGACAGAAATTGTTAAAACAAGTACAGTATTTAAATCAGGGCACCTATCCTTTAGTTTTATAGACTTAGTTGTAACTAAAAATAATCTTAGACCATGTAGCCCCAGTTGCTATTTTACAGATGAGTAGACTGAACCCTGGAGATGGGAAGTGCCTTGTCCATGCTCCCCTAGATGTTCATTGCAGAGACAGGACTAGAGAGCAGGTTTCCTGTTTCCCTCTCTAGAACTGTATTTTTTTCCCCTAAGCCATAATGTTTTTTAATAGCATAGACTGTTGAGTTGCAGAGAACATATGACCTCTTGAACTCTCTGGGTACCTGAAATTCAGTAATTTTCAGTCCCTGCAAGGAGAGGATCTTCCCTTTTCCCTCTGCTTTCCCCTCACAGTACAGTACCAGAGACCACTGAGGACATGATAGGATGACATGCCCAAACTTGTGCCCTCTGCTGCTCAAAAGGGAGAAGAGCTGGCATCAAGACCCACCTCTGGCTTCTGCCAGCACCACATGCTAGGCTTACATGCCAGGGCTCCCGTGAAGTCTTGGCTTTTGGTTTCTTTGGGGAGCGCCTGGAAAACCAAGTAGTCAATTAGCCCTGCCCTTCCTAAGTGGCTGTGTGAGTATCTTCTCCACCCCTGAAGGGTCTTGGCTATAGTTAAGTGTTTATACCAGGCCACCTCCTTAGCAGGGCCCATGGAGAAAATTCAAATTCAGTTTAGTTTCAACCTGAGCCGGATATTCTGAGAAAAGGAGGAGAGGAGGGGGTAATCCTACTGCCCCTGCCAGTGTAGATTACCAAGAGTTGGGGAAATGCTGACTTCCAAGCTGCTGGTACAGTGGTTCGAATTGCTTGTGTTTGCCACAGAGGAACAGCGTGCAGCAAGCTCGAGTCTCTGAGCTAACGGGAGAGGCAGAGCCCAGAGAAGTGAAAGCCACAGGAAATTCAACTCCCTGCACCTCTTCCCTGCCCACCACACACCCCCCCTCACACCGGGCTGGTGCCTCCTGTGTCTGCTGCTCCCAACCCCAGCAGAGCTCCACTTCCCCTCCTCCTTCTGACGCCTTGCAGTGGGTGGTGGTTGAGGTATCTGGGACCCCCAACCAGCTCGAGACCCATAGGGAGCTGCATGCCCCTCTCCCAGGGGTGACCTCACTCTCTCCTCTCCACCCCTCGCAGCAGCTCTACCAGATCCAGCAAGTCACCATGCCTGCAGGCCAGGACCTCGCCCAGCCCATGTTCATCCAGTCAGCCAACCAGCCCTCCGACGGGCAGGCCCCCCAGGTGACCGGCGACTGAGGGCCTGAGCTGGCAAGGCCAAGGACACCCAACACAATTTTTGCCATACAGCCCCAGGCGATGGGCACAGCCTTCCTCCCCAGAGGACCCGGCCGACCTCAGCGCCTCCTGCAGGCTAGGACACTGGTGCACTACGCCCCATGCCTGGGGGCCAAGATTCTCCAGCAGAAAGATGCAATATTTTTTGTTTCCTTTTTTTTCCATTTTTTTCTCCAAGGAATCAATATTTCAATATGTTGAGCTATGTGTCCAATGCTATGAAATTAAAATATTAAATAACATATTTATGGCATTTTCTTGAAGAGTGTGGTTAAAGAAATATTTCTTCTTTTGTTTTTTTTTGTTGTTGTTTGTTACCGCCACTTCTTTTTAGGAGCAAATCTCCCCAGGGGTGTATGGTATTTCTTGACTCTTGGAACAGCTGCTACCCCCAAGACTTGCCACGTTGTTCTGCCCTCAGATGGAACTAGGTGAATGTGTGTAGCTGCTTTTTCACTCGTGGTCCTCTCCCCATCCCTTGCTCTTACGCCAGAGCTCTGTGTATTTGCATCCAGAGGCCATGGAAACATTCCTTGCATTTAGGAGATTTATTCCCCATGGAGAGTGGGTGGGTTCATTGCCACACTCTTTTCTCCCAGGGACCCAGGAGACTAGGACTTTGTGCGTTTGCTGCCCACCTCCCCTTTATTTTTTAAATGCATTAAACACTGTGCTAGTCTCCTTTGCATGGACTTCAGACTGCATGAAATGCAATAAATCTCATTTTAGATAATTTAGAGTCTGGGTTTCTGTGTCTGGGGGCATTCATGGGGCCACTTTGCTTGGAAAGGTTCATTTTGCCCTCAGGTTGTGTGTCTGGGAGAGAGGGCCGCACTTGTGAGAAGGGGATGTTCAAAGCGAAGGGAACTTAATGCTGTGTATGTAAATCAAACAGGTCCTTAGCCGGTGTGTGTGTGTGTGTCTGGCTGTGTGTGTGTGTGTGTGTGTGTGTGTGTGTCTTGCTGTGTGTGTGTGTGTCTGTCTGTCTGTCTGTCTTGCTCTGTTGCTCACTTCAGCCTCAATCTCCTGGGCTCAAGCAATCCTCCCACCCCAGCCTCCTGAGTTGCTGGGACTACAGTCAGGTTACAGTCAGGTACCACCATGCCCAGCTAATTTTTTTTATTTATTTGTAGAGACAGGGTTTCACTTATTGCCCTGGCTGGTCTTGAACTCCTGGGCTCAAGTGATCCTGCCACATCAGCTTCCCAAAGTACTGGGATTACAGGCATGAGCCACTGTGCCTGACCTACCTCAGCCAGTCTTAAAAGTAAACTTCGGCCGGGCGCGGTGGCTCAAGCCTATAATCCCAGCACTTTGGGAGGCCGAGACGGGTGGATCACGAGGTCAGGAGATCGAGACCATTCTGGCTAACACGGTGAAACCCCGTCTCTACTAAAAAATACAAAAAACTAGCCGGACGAGGTGGTGGGCACCTGTAGTCCCAGCTACTCAGGAGGCTGAGGCAGGAGAATGGCGTAAACCTGGGAGGCGGAGCTTGCAGTGAGCTGAGATCCGGCCACTGCACTCCAGCCTGGGTGACAGAGCGAGACTCCGTCTCAAAAAAAAAAAAAAAAAAAAGTGAACTTCATCAATATATTTGCTGCTCAGAGATGCTTGCCTGCTGGACTTACTAGATTCTCACCATGTATCAGATTGAGCTGTGTCTCCTGCCTGGTTGAGGGTCAAGAGGGCATCTCTCATGGAGAAAGCTGGCTCTATCAAACAAACCTGGGGTAAATCCTTCCAGTCCTGCCTGGCACAGGCTGCTGTTCAGCTACCTGCTGTGGCCACGCCCATTACCAATGGCATGGCATCTGCCAGAGAAAAACCCAGGTGCCTTGTCAGCCAAGAGTTCTACAGCCAAGACCTACTTCCTGTTAATTGAAGCAGAGAGAATAGAGAGAGCATTCCACTTATTCATTGGCCACAGAGGCCAGTGATGAGCCATCTTTCTTACCTCCACCATGCCATCCTTCCAGTTGGAATGAGCTGCTGTTGTGGGAAGAACAGTGAGCTGGGTGCCAGGAAATGTAGGTATTTGCCCTAAACCCATGGGCAGATACCTCCCTTGTCTTTGGGACTGTCTCAGTGAGTGAGGTGGAAATTGGGGAAAGGCTTCTGTTAGATGATTTCAAGTCTGAACCTGATGCTTTTATGATTATCTCATGAAATATCCACTGTAAACCATGGGGGTAAGACATGAATTGGTTTTCAACAAGTAGTTTCAGATAACTCGAATGCCCTCTGCTCTTTCTTCCTCCCAGGAGATTGCCCAGATTTCTGGGATCTGCTTAAATACTTTGCCTAGATTCAAGTCTGGCCAGCTCTACCCTTTACTCCAAATTGGGGCATCCTGTTGCTTATATTGTCTTGATGATGGTAGCTTATAAAGTACTCAGCATCTACTTCACTATGCCTTACCTCAGTCCATAAGAAAAAACTGCAATGAAAACAACACAATGAAATAATAAATTAGGAAAAACAATCTGGTAGGAAATCAGGATTATAGAAAACAACACAAATATGGTTATAAAGACCTGTGTAAGTATTAGAATTATTTGACCCTGAGCTTCCTGGCCACCAAAGCAAAAAGAGATGAGACGAGGTAAAGTCTGATCTTACAAAAGTCTTATAAAGTCTTTCTTATAAAAGACAACTTTTTTTTTTTTTTGTTTTTCAAAGGCAAAGTTTTTTTAGCTTTAAGGTTTTGGATACATGATGCTGTGTATCCCGAATGACATGGAGTGTCATCAGGGTAGGTAAAGCAGGTGACAGTTCACCATGAGAAGTCAGTAAGTCGGCCCCCATAACACAGTGAGTCAGGGTCAGCCCCCACATGCTCGCAACTCCCAAATTCAGTCCCTCCTATGTCTAGTTATCTTTATTCTAGCTCTGGACTTTTTTCTGAAGGGGATCTTCTGGCCTTTCCAGCTGTCCTGAACTCAGTCTTAGCGAGACATCATATAATAGCAAGTTTTCACTGATATCCGTGTGCCTAGCCCCACATGCAGGGAATGCAAGAGGGAGAAAGTGGAAGTGCAGAGGGACCTCAGGCAGAAGCTCCACAATTTAATTTCCTGACATCCTATGTCCCGCCTTGTTTGCTCTGGTTCATTCCTGAAAACCCAAGTATGATTGTAGTTTCAGGCCAATGAGTGGGTCCCCATTTTCCTGTAGACTTCCATTCTTGTTTTAGAGATGTTTCGGTCAGTTGTGATTAGCAAGCAGCTTCCCTGCTGAACACTTTCCCTTTAAATTGCCCTGCCAGCAGGGCTCATCCTGGTGAAAACAAACCCTTTGGTGCAGCCCAAGAGAGCCCCTATTTAATACCCAGCATGATCCCCTTACATCCGGAGCACTTTTTAAACATTTTTCCTAGCACTTGCAGCATCCGTCCTCCCTCCCGATGATCTTCACAGTGACCCTGCAGGGGAGACAGGAAGAGGCATCATGATCCCTGTGTTAGAGATGGAGTCATGGGAGGGCTAGTGAAGTGCAGTGACTTGCCCAAGGTCACTCCATGAATTAAGGGTGGAATTGAAACCAAAACACTGATCTCCTGACCCCCTGTGCATACACAGTTGCTCCCTGGCCAAAGGTGACGTGTATATAGGTAAGAAAGAGGCAGGCTGTTGAAATGTGAACTATCCCCTTTTATTCAGTCTTCCTGAACTGACTGGCCCAGCCTTGAGTATGTGTGAAATAAATAAAGCAGTTGGGTCTGGTCTGGGGACAGCTGGTGGGTGGGATAACTTGCCACAAGGATGACTTTGGAGACTGGAGACCCCTGGAATCAGGAGCAGACGATCTGGCTGGCTTCCTTGCTGCTCAGGTCTGCGGAGGCCACAAGGGGGCAGCATGCAGCCCTCACCTGTGTCTCTGGGAGGTGCCCTGTCCCACTCATCCCAACTGTAGACAATTCTAGGAACTAGAGGGAGTGTGACTGTCCCCTTTCTTAACCCCCTTCCTGATGAGACCCTCACCCTTTGAAGGGAGGGTCCTCCCTAGGATAATAGTGAGAGCTGGAAATTCTGCCCTCTCCAGAGTGTTGCCTCAAGGTCGGTGGTTAGATTTTAATAAGGACTTTCTGACAGCTCAAGTTGGTTCAAGGTCCTTCTTATCTCCCCAGCTTTGTTTCTTTTCACTCTCCTCTCCCCCACCACCTCCTGTACTCTATGGTCCTGTCACACCCAATTACCGATCCCTGAACTTTCCTCCATGTTTTCAGAATGTGCTAGCTACAATGCCTGAAATGCCCTTTTACTTCCTTTTTCACTTATTGAGCTTCTATACATCCATCAAGGCCCAATTTAAATGGCCCTTGCTGAGAAACTTCAAGACCTCTTCAATGTTCCCATGTGAACTTCTGCAACCTCTATTATTAGAGCTCATATACAGTCGCTCAGCAGATGTTTCTTTGGCACCTTCTGTGTGTCAGATGTTGTTTTAAACATTGTGAATACAGCTTAAAACAAGTCTGACTTGGCCGGGCACGGTGGCTCAAGCCTGTAATCCCAGCACTTTGGGAGGCCGAGACGGGTGGATCATGAGGTCAGGAGATCGAGACCATCCTGGCTAACACGGTGAAACCCCGTCTCTACTAAAAAATACAAAAAACTAGCCGGGCGAAGTGGCGGGTGCCTGTAGTCCCAGCTACTCGGGAGGCTGAGGCAGGAGAATGGCGTGAACCCGAGAGGAGGAGCTTGCAGTGAGCTGAGATCCGGCCACTGCACTCCAGCCTGGGTGACAGAGCAAGACTCCGTCTCAAAAAAAAAAAAAAAGTCTGACTTGTCTGCTACCATGGAACTTACATTAATGAGTGGGCTGAGGGTGGGGGTTGGGTTGGGGGCGGGGGAGAGAGACAACGAACATAAGACCAAGTTAGCCTCTGAAGAAACCCTCAACCTTGCTGTTAGAGTTTTCTGGTTTGGGCTGTCTTCCTCACAGGCAGTCCTCAAGTCCAGGGTCATCTCCACCTCTGGAGCGCAGCACAGAGCCTGGCACCAAGAGGGTAACAGTAAACTGATGAGTGAGTGAATGAACACAAAACCATCCTTGCAGCCACACTGCACATATTCTCACTTCTGTTCATCTGCTCTCACCATGACATTTTTTTCTTGTTAAGAATTCTTTTTGTTTGTTTTGTTTTTTTGAGATGGAGTCTCACTCTGTCGCCAGACTGGAGTGCAGTGGTGCAACCTCGGCTCACTGCAAATTCTGCCTCCTGGGTTCAAGTGATTCTCCTGCCTCAGCCTCCTGAATAGCTGGGACTACAGGTGCCTGCCACCATTCCTGGCTAATTTTTGTATTTTTAGTAGAGACGAGGTTTCACCATGTTGGCCAGGATGGTCTCAATCTCTTGACCTCGTGACCCACGCACCTTAGCCTCCCAAAGTGCTGGGATTACAGGCGTGAGCCACCATGCCTGGCCCTTGTTAACAGTTTTTTATTGAGCTATGATAATATGCCAGGCAGGGGTGTTCAATGGAGATTATTGTTTAAGAAATTTCTGTCTAGGAAAATATGTCTAAGGCCAGGCATGGTGGCTCATGCTAGTAATCCTAGCACTTTGGAAGATCGAGGCGGGAGGATCACTTGAGGCCAGGAGTTTGAGACCAGCCTGGGCAATTTGGTGAAACCCCATCTCTACAGAAAAATACAAAAATTAGTCCGGGCATGGTGGCACATGCCTGTAATCCCAGCTACTTGGGAGGTTGGGGCGGGTGGACTGCT